TAATAATAATAATAATAATAATAATATGTGGTATTTATATAGCGCCGATATCCTCTGAGTTCAAAGGCGCTTCACATGTATAGATCATTTCACACGGACCGCTGTTTAAGGCGCAATTGGCAGCCACGCGGCTTACAATCATGAGGGGTTAGTAATTAGTATGGGTTAGTAGTAAGGCCTAGCCACACACACCGGGAATCATTCCCTACTCTTATGCGAACAGTGGTGTGGGTTCTTTAACGTCCCTCTAATACAGGTTAGTGAGTGAAGTGTAGAGAGACGGGACCTCCGATTTTACGTCGTTATCCGAGAGGACGAGAAGATCTTACCATTTGCAGATGGAGAAAGACAAAGGCAGCAACTTCTCCTCAATTATTTTAAGACCCTGAGTGTTGGTCCGGCCGGGGTTTGAACCTGCGACCTCCCGCACTAAAGTCCGATGCTCTACCTACTGAGCTAACCGGTCGGCGGTAACATTCGTACCCAGTGCCTTCTAGTTTGGACGAGGATAATTTGTGAACAAAAATAAGACCATGACAAAAAAGACAGCCGAAATTTTAAACTCGGTATTCCTTTGGAACCCCTAGTAATAATTAATTATTTATGTAATTATTCCTAATTTACTTTATTTCGGGCTTTCTTCGTTTACCGGAATCTATTGTATATTCTGGTTAGGTTTCATTGTATTTCGGCGGGATATTGCTTAGATTCTGCTACGTTATTGTAACCCTTTGTTTCTATTAAATTACGTAATTTGTGCTCCGGTACACGAAGTAAAAGCCTTTATTTCTATATCATGCCTTTCATAGTACCAACCAAACAACTTTCCGAAATTCAAAAAGGGACTGGTGACTAGTCATAAACTCGATACCACTTGAAGCAATAGAAAAATACATAGCAGGACAAGAAAAAACATACTAAAAATAGTAAAATTGCTCAGTGTGGAGTGTATTCGGGTTAATATTTACAGAGTTACAAGCGTTTAAATCTCGAAAAATTTACAAAGAATGTATGGAGCATTTGGGCAGCGTCCCCAAAAACCATACATTCTCTCTTATTTTCACAAATTTGAAAAAAATTCTTCTAGTTGAGTGCTCAACAACATAGTCTCAAACTTCAGAAAGAACGCTAATTGTAGTGTGGTCTTTCATGTGTTGAGATTCAATTTTCGATAAGTGKACTATTTTCATACTCGTTTCCAGTCTCCTTTCAAATTTCGGAACGGCCAATCGATCTAACCAGACAACAAGTGTCCTACGTAATTGTGTGAGCGTATACTTTACAGCGTCCACACTAGTCTAAAAGCGTGAATTAGATTTATAAAATTTTTGATATATAACGCGCGCTCTGATTGGCTGACGACAGTGTTTATATCAGAGGACAGAGACACGGCTTACCGGCAAAATTTTCTTTTCGCTCGAAAAATTTTATAAACGAAATATAAAACGACCGCTTGTGTCTCTGTCCTCTAATATAAACACGGTGGGAGTTGATAAACACTCGAGAAGCAAGAGANCTTTAGGGACCGCCTAATACATGTGTCAGGACATTTTAGTCCTATATCAATAATGATCAGAATAACAAATAGGTGTAAAAGTATGGTTACCTCTTCGAAGACCTGGGCAGTATTTACAGCAATTCTTATAAACTCACAGCACTTCAACACAGCAACACAGAATGCCTAAATATTGATAGAAAAAAATCAGAAACTCTATATTATGCTCCATCATAGAAGCTGACACATGTATTTCTATTACAGGAAGCCTGAAAACACAATTTGACTGAACATGATCCAAATGAGCATGAGTCAAATACAGCATAATAAATGATTTGAACCACACTTGTGTTGTGCTAAGTTTTCAAGTAACATGTTATTATTTAATAATAGTCTCATCTACAGTTCCCTGTGCCATTAAAATAGACTTTGAATCAAAGACAAGTGATGACTGCAAGTAATTGTGTATAGAGCGGATTTCGTATGAGTGGGAAACGGACGGTACTGTACTGTGTCCGTAATCGTACTATAACCAAATTCTAGTGCCCCATTGTTTCACCAAAATTCTGCAGGCCAGGTGCGGTAACTGTGCGGTAACCGTGCGGTAACGGTGTCCCACTCATACGAAATCCGCTCTATCAAATCGTAGTTCACGAGACAGAGAGGTCTAATTGTTCTAGTATCCACCAAAGTATAGGGAAAATTTGAAGAAATAGAATAAAGTTAAGAACAATCATTCTCGACATTTATGATTTTTTTAGTTATTCTCACTTCATTCGATGCGACCATGGTCTATCACGAATAGACCATAATTCAGAAGCTATCTAGATACTGGACTTAACATAGCCCAGAGTTTCTGCTGTTTAAAYGAGCAAGCGCGCACTGTGATTGGTTACTCTACTACTCGGCTATCAGCTCAAATACCATGCGAATAAATATTCGAATCTTAGCGAAAGTGAAATTCAAGGTACTCAAACAGAGCAGCTCATTTAAATGAAATCCCCCGTATACTACGCGTCCAACCGGCACATCTAGATGATTTTTCTACGTTCGTTTTATACGATAATAATAATAATGACTATAATCCTAATACCAGCAGCTCACTCGCCTCGATGCGTAGTAAAGATTATATAATATCTAGTATCTATAATCCTTCCTTAAACAAATTGATACATAGGATTCAAATATGAAATAATCCTGGAAGTGATTTTTTGTTATATTGAGTGTATATTAATGTACCATCAGGTGAAGCTTTATTGACAGTCCTTTGAGAAACCAAACGCAACAACTACATTAGTAAATCTTCTTGAGCATCATGATACTCCTTAATTTGTAAACTATTGTTTTCGTCCTTTTTGTTTTATATGTAATCTGCTTTATTAATCTGTAATAAAAATTATTCAAAAAAAAACTACATTAGTACCAACAACAAATTAACAACATCTTTTTTAAAAGATCTTTGTTGGTTGTATTTTTCATATTTATACGTAGTTTGTTTAATCAACCATGAATAATTTTAAACTTCTTTCCAAGCTTTCGACCTAAGCGTTCATCTTCAGGGAACACAAAGACGTTACAAAAACAAAAACAAAAACGCATTCAAACTGAAATGAAACTACTTTTGCGCGCGCAATAAAAGACAATGCGCGCGCTGTTGCAAATGAAATCAAGAAAGATGAGAATAATAATTAACTATTGAGCAAGGGAAGGAACATATTGTTCAATAGGGACAAAGGTCGAACACTGCCTGGAAACTATTTGTGCTTGCTCAATAGTTAATTATTATTCTTATCTTTCTTGATTTCATTTGTAACAGCGCGCGCATTGTCTTTATTGCGTGCGCAAAAGTAGTTTAATTTCAGTTTGAATGTGTTTTTTGTTATTAAGAAATATAAAACGGCGCGTGTGTCTCTGTCCTCTGATATAAACACGGTGGRAGTTCGAAAAACACGAGAGAARCAAGCTTAGGAACACGAGCGTAGCGAGTGTTTCTCTTGCTTCTCGAGTGTTTTTAATTTTTATTTCTTTTATACAATTTTTCGAGCGAACAGACAATCTTGCCGGTAAGCCGTGTCTCTGTTTTCTGATATAAACACGGTCGTCAGCCAATCAGAGCGCGCGTTGTATATAAAAAATTTTATAATTTTGTTTTTGTAACGTCTTTGTGTTCCCTGAAGATGACCACTTAGGTCGAAAGCTTGGAAAGAAGTTTAAAATTATTCATGGTGGATTAAACAAACTACGTATAAACAACAACATCGAAGACGACAACAGCGGAAACAGCCAAAAGCGTTGTCGCGGTGATTGGATTTCGCCAGACCGAAAAAGAAATATTCATGAAAATATTCTACCAATTTGCATTTTCAAGTTGAAAGGGAGCGACCGCTGACAGCAGACACTCTTGTGCAAAGACCTTAACAAAAACAAGAGCGGGAAAACATTGTCATTACAAGAGGCCTACAAATTTGCATTCTCCGATTCAAGGCTAATCCTCTAAAGCTAAGTCAGCTTTACGTCAGAATTTTTTCATGCTTTCTTTTGTGTTTTGAAAGGTCCTTTTATCAAGAGTGTCTGTTTTACACAGAATAAACAGTGGTCACTCGCTCTGAACGAAAAAAAATAACATTATCAAAACAATTGACAATTTTTTGGAAAAGCACTACTTTTAGTCTCTTTCTGTAACCTTCAGTAGGACARYGACTTTTGTACTAGTCACTTGTACTTCGYGGTCKAGACACGACATAKTGAATCCAAAAAATTCGCGCTCCAAAATTTGATTTTGACAGACAAAACCCTGAAACATCAAGCTACAAAATATAATCTCAAACGATTTCACGAGGTACTCAATTCAAACAGCGCTATAGAGAACTATGATATGAGATCATATTTCTGCAACAACATTTGTGATATGCAAATTATTTCGCTTTATATATTTGATAATACCAAGTGCCAGATATAACGTAAAACATTCAGAAATTGTAGAGACAGCCGAGTTTGTATTTTATTTTCCTTTTGTAACATTGCAGGGTTTGCAATGTGAAACGAAGTTCAGTTTTGTAACATAGGTTAACGACTGACTGCTTTGAAGACAATTTCTTACCTCTCTGTTTTGCTGCTCAGCTCAAGTCTTCCAACCATCTGTTTGATTTTCATGAAAACTTGGCCCATTTTCTCTATTTTCTCTTAGAAAAGACTCCAATTTTCAGGCTAAGATCTCAGTTCTTAGGCTATTTCGTAGATCTAAGATCTACGTTCTCAGGGTATTTTTTAAATATTTTTTCTCTGAGGGATTTTGTGTAATTGAAATGTTTAATTCGCTTGGAGTTGTTTATTGATTGGTTAAGCTTCCTTACATGTGTTATTCATATGAACAGATGGTTAGTGGTTTACATCCTGTGGTTATTAATAACGATCATTATCAAGAAAATACGAATATTGAACAGTCAAAGAGATTGGTTTGTCAACAATCCCATTACTGTGACAAAAAAAAACCTTGTTAATGACATTCGCTGTTGATTGTTTTGCAATAAACTCAACAAAAAATGGTCGATCAGTTTAGAAATTATAGCAATTACTCCGAACTCAACAAGAGACAAAATGGCTTCTCTTAGGGGCTTTTTTAAGTGCAATTATCAGGAATGCATATGAATAAAAAAAGATCGAATTGGACGAATTCGTATGCATTTTTTCACTGCATGGGATTCCTGTGTTGTCTAAGAGGTCGAATAAATTTACGAATAAGCAATTTAAGATTTAACTTTGCTCACCATACTAGAAGATTGGACCAAAACCTTAAAGAATTCCACAAGTAACTCTACTTGCACTCGATTTTCTTGCCAAAATACATTTTTCGTCTAACTGACGTAATATCTTCAAATAAACATAAATGTCAAAGGATTTCTTTAAAGCAATTTTTCACTATATAAATTGCTTGTTGAGGTTGAACTCCAACAATGCCGGCTTTCAAGAAAGTGTACGTGGAGACGTGTTTACTACTAATGTTTTTAAATGTNGGAATAAAAAAGATGAAACTAGGTAGTAAGAGTAACAAATTAAGATAGACTAATAGGAGAAAGGTAGGCAAGGTAACGCAGTATACAGAAGGATAATAAACGTGCTAAAAAGGGAACAAAGGACAAACAAATTATCTGAAAACAAAGCGTTCATTCAACCCATGGGGATTGTAAGTGCCCAATAGATGAATAAGTCGCATCTCCACCAAGGTTTTTCTTTTTCATAGTTTTGAATACATTACACCAATACTCGGTGGTGTAACTGTGTAAGACGCGGCGCATATAGACTGGACGGTTCGGGATCGTTCGCGAGGCAGTCATATATCAAAGATCTTTTTTCACTAAATTAATCCTATCAAATTAAATTGATTGTTTCTAATACTTTGATTATCATTAGCTAGTAGTAGTTAGAAAAATGTAGAACCCGCTAAATATCGGGGAAACCCGCCCACAATGCCGAAAGTAGCGCTTGGATGTGGGAAACCAAGTTGATTACTGCTCATGCTCAGATGGAGATATCTTCATCAATTATTCATTTTTGATATTTTTTTATTTATTTCATGTTTATTGTAGTTTCTTAGGTTTGGGTTTTAGAAGTCATTTAAAAAACTCGTAGTTCGTGTTTTATCGTGGTTATAAACACTCGGCCTTCGGCCTCGTGTTTTATCTCACGTTCTAAAATATTTAGGATACTACGCGCGCTGTGATTGGTCGAAAACCATGTTTGATTACAGTATCAAAACACGCTCGCGCGCGTCAAAAATTTCTTTTTTCCCGCCATTTGCATTTGTTGTTGTTATCATTCATTTTCAAGAAAAATGAACGAAGAAATGCCTATTTATGATGTCCTCTGGGATGATATCCCAGAAGAAGAGCTATCAAACGTTTTAGAATCTACAGAAGCTGCAGACAACTGCAATGTAAGGAGAATTCATCGTTTCATATCGTATCAAAAGTCAGAATTCTTTACAATTTTCGTATTCTTTTAATTTTAGAAAAGAAATAAAAGACGAAATTCCGTGTTTGATACTCTGATCAAAACACTTGGGATGTAGGGAGAGCACTCGAAAAGCTGGAAAACACTCCGCTACTCGTCGTGGTTCCCTAGACGCTTCTCTCGTGCTCTCCCTACATCCCGCGTGTTTTGATCAGAGTATCAAACACGGAATTTCGTCTTTTATTCCTTAAGTAAGACATGAACATCGCGTATTCCATTCCATTTCATTCCATTCCATTCCATCCTATTCAATTCGATTCGATTCGATATTAGCTTCTCTATTAGCTTTAGGGAAAAATTGAGGATATTAATTGAGCGCGCGGAGATACGGATTTTATCTTTGAGTGTTGAATAAAATTCGTATCTCCAAGCGACCATGTAATATTCTATCATATGATTACATATGAAAGCAAATTATGTCGTAAAATACCATTTTTCTTACTTCCACTATATAGAGAAACCTCAAATGTTTTATTTTCACAAGTGAAAACAACATGAAATAACAACTTTACGAAATAGAGAAATGTAGGTATTTCATAGATAATTATATGATAAATATAATTAGTTTGGTCGTATATTAGATCAAACTAATACCTTCGAAGCAACATCATCAGAAACTTCAGCAAAAACATTTATAAGTGTGAGACGCTTTTTTTTCATCTTTGGATGGCAACCAATCCGCATCTTTTGATAATTTCTTGTATAATTTCCATCGTGGGTCCAGTTTTTTGATCACGAAGCAGGGGGCTACATCAACTATCTCAATGGATTCTTCTTATGAACTGCATTTTCAGGCATTGAACATTTCTCCGCCATTGAAGTTCAACAAATAATAAATGCGTTGGATAAGACATTCATTCGAATCGATGGTCAACTACATAGAGAATGAATCTTATTCAAAGACATTGACTGTATCAAGGAAACAAAAGAAACAAAAGCCTTCATTATTGGAGGCCTTTGGACTCGCTGGTCTCAACTCTGTATTCTTAATTTGCCTTTTGTTGTTGCTACAACAAAGTCTCCAAAGATACCGCTGAATAAAGTGATTTTGTTTCTCACTTTCCWTTCGAGTAGGGGTTGTCATACGTATTCCATATATTGTATTAACTACAAGCGTAAAGCGGTCCCTAACAAGCAAATAGAAGCACCTAACAAGCGAATAGCGGTCCCTAAGGAGTCCCAATTTAACGGTGCTATTAGTAATGTATACAGAACGAGAGAGCGTGTTGTATCGGGTGATAAAGATCCGAGCCGAAGGATGTATGTCGCAGTTATTAAATATTCGTCAAATATAACTGTTTGTATGGTGCCATTGTTTCACGAAACGACTGAATTATCAAGGGAATTTCTAAATGATTGATTGAAAGTTTGATTTTGCAGATGAAGCTTTTATTACTTACTCCTGAAAATTGTTCATTTTCCTATTGTTTTTTTAAAGAATGTGCTTGCCAAACTATGGAAAATTAGAATTCTCAAAGGAATTGCAAGATATTAGGCATTCATAGTTAACAAAAATTAAATCAGTTGGCTTCCATTTCTCCCTCGAAGACATGTCGAACATAGAGGAAAGCGCTATTGTTTGGGCGAGTGTTCCACAAAGTATTCAACAAAATGGGCCGCAACCTTATTTTGCGACTGGCAAAAAGACCGTGTGAACAAGAAATCCATAAATGGGAGCACCAGTTTCAGTTTCAAAAACAGCGAGTCATTCCGAGATGCTGACACTAGTCTTGATGACATGAACGCCGAGTCGTTGATTTTTTGGATGGTCAAATTCATACAAGACGGGCGCGAAGAAAAACGGCGAAGCTTATCTGACGATCGAGTAAATCACAAGGAAGCGAACATAGCTACGACATTGATTTTTCAGTGTGTTTTAATTGTGTTTGATTGCACGCGAGTTTAGACATTTTGAATATTTTCAGGGGAGTGCGGGGCTGATTATTACTCAACGTTTTCCTGATGCAGACTTAATTAATAAAACATTAGTTCTGTATCACTGATACAGAACTAATGTTTTATTAATTAGGTCTGTATCAGGAAAACGTTGAATGATAATCAGCCCCGCACTCCCCTGAAAATATTCAAATCCGCCCCCAACTTTGAGCTTGCTGCACCTTTTATCCAATATAAAGGTATAATCACGTGATTAGATTCTCAGTATATCATTGGCTAATGACACTATGAATTATTAATGAGTTTGATAAGCAATGCAAAATACTTTAAATGTCACAAACAATTCGTTGCTTGCCAGCGTAATCCCTCGTGGTCAAGTTAGTTAAAGCGCTTTACATTTGTAGCTCTAGTCGAAGGGTTAGGTTTAGGCGGGTCAGGCTATAAAATGTTAAATTCATAATTCTAAGTTAAAATTTGATAATTTTTAATAAGTTAAGGCGTAGCTWAAAAGTTCAAATAAGTCGATAAAAAACTTTCTAAAACTCATGAATTACTCATTAGACATTCTTCCAATGAACATTCAACTATGGGTCACATGACAGGATCTATAACTCAAGTTACAAACAC